TATTGATGATATCAAACAGATTTCATGTTGGCGCTGAATATTCTAGTTTTGGCATTTTCTGATTCTGTAGAATTCAATGCTGATCGTTGCTTTGTAAGAGCCTGCATTCCTTTGCTTTATATTAAATGTTTATGTCAGTTCAGCTGTTTTTGTTTGTGATACTACTAAGAAAAATTGATTGACCTCATCTACATGTATATCATCTTTTTCGAATGTTACAATTCCTCTACTTTTTAGCTCACCTGAGTTGAAAGCTCAAGTGAGCTTTTCTGATCACCCGTTGTCCGTCGTCCATCCGTCCATCTGTAAACTTTTCACATTTTTGACTTCTTCTCAAGAACCACTGGGACAATTTTAACCAAACTTGGTACAAAGCATCCTTGGATGAAGGGGAGTTTAAATTGTAAAAATGAAGGGCCAAGTCCCCTTCAAAGGGAAGATAATCAAGATAATACAAAAATTGGGTGGGGTCATTAAAAAATCTTCTTCTCAAGAACCACTGGGACAATTTTAACCAAACTTGGTACAAAGCATCCTTGGATGAAGGGGAGTTTAAATTGTAAAAATGAAGGGCCAAGTCCCCTTCAAAGGGAAGATAATCAAGATAATACAAAAATTGGGTGGGGTCATTAAAAAATCTTCTTCTCAAGAACCACTGGGACAATTTTAACCAAACTTGGTACAAAGCATCCTTGGATGAAGGGGAGTTTAAATTGTAAAAATGAAGGGCCAAGTCCCCTTCAAAGGGAAGATAATCAAGATAATACAAAAATTGGGTGGGGTCATTAAAAAATCTTCTTCTCAAGAACCACTGGGCAAGAAAGGCTGAAACTTATGTTGAAGCATCCTGGCGTAGTGTAAATTCTAAATTGTTCAAATCATGACCCCCGGGGGTAGGACGGGGCCACAATAGGGAATCCAAGTTTTACATTGAAATATGTAGTAAAAATCTTTAAAAATCTTCTTCTCAAGAACCACTGGGCCAGAGAAGCTGAAACTTATGTGGAAGCATTCTGGGGTAGTGTAGATTCTAAATTGTTCAAATCATGACCCCCGGGGGTAGGGCGGGGCCACAATAGGGAATTCAAGTTTTACATTGAAATATGCAGAAAAAATCTTCTTCTCAAGAACCACTGGGCCAGAAAGGCTGAAACTTATGTGGAAGCATCCTGGGGTAGTGTAGATTCTAATTGTTGAAATCATGACATCTGGGGTAGGGCGGCGCCACAGTAAGTACAACCGGGGGGGGGGGGGAGAAATCAGGTGAAAAACAGCAAGGCCAAAGTTACTCAGGTGAGCGCTGTGGCCCATTGGCCTCTTGTTGTCAAGTCTCTTATTTTTTCTTGGTATAGATCTTGAGCTTCTTTTCCATTGTATCCTGTCTCTTAAGCCTGTTAGAGTGTGAGATGAAAATGGAAGGTTCTTCTGCAAAGTCTAGGTTGTATATTCTCTAACCGAAGGGGACTGAATTCCTCTAGCACTTTTGTGAAGGGCTCTTGTTACCAGTTGAAAACTTTCAAGAATCGTGTTGGTAATTGGGGGCAACCTTATTTTAATCCAGTTTTGACAATAAATGATTTTATCAGTCAAAGTTATTTTATGAATTATTTGTACTCTTGACTTTGTACAGTGTCTTTTTCATGTTGTCGATTTTAACGGGTTCCATAATGGCTTAGTATTCCCCTAAAACTCTCTATTGTGATGATATCAATCGCTTTTTCAAAATCGTTGAAGTTGATTGAAAGTGAGTATTGCCATTCTACATTTTGCATATTGCTCTATAAGAATGAGTGGTGCAGCTTTCTGGTCTGTGCAAATTCTAATCAAATCTGGTTTCTTTGACTCTTTCAATCTAAATAAAACTTTTTAGAATCTTAAGCAAGCAGCAGATCTTGCTTGGTTCAAAAAGCAATATGAGGCATCTCCACTTTTTGCAGAGATTAAGAGCTCCCTTCTTCGGTTTATTTAGTTATACAATCAGTCCCTTCTTCCATAATTAATTAGGGATTCTCAGCTGCTTTTCATACATTGTTTAACAGTCTATACATTTATTCCTCTATTTCTTGTCTGAGGGTCCTCAATGCCTCAGTTAGTATTTTGTCAATTCCTGTTGTTTTTTCCATATTGAAAAAGATTTAACTCTTGTAGCTGTTGTCACTTTCTTCTCGCTTCTTCCAGCTATTTTTGCATTCAGGTCTTCCCCAAGATAAACTGTATTGGTCCTCTAGAGTTTGGTCTATTTAGTACTTGTTTGATGTGTTTGTTTCTTTTTTTTAGTTGTCCCTCTACTTGTTAGCTTTACAAACATTTTTTGACCGGGTTGGTTACACCACATCCTCTCTTTTTCAGAGTTCTTGTGATGTTATGGGATGTTATATGCCTTCAGATCTCCTCTATGGGCTGCCAGCTCAGCTTTCTAAGCAAGCTCAATTATAAAGTCTCTTGTTCTTACCTCTTTGTCAAAACAGCCAAAGTCTGATAAATATTACAGTCAATGGATTGTTTGTAAGTCCAAGTAGTATAGAAATGTCACTATTTTGTTTTTCCAGCAGCAATCTTGAAAATGGCGGAAATTGCGATGGAGAAAGATGATTTTAGAAAAGTATTATCTGATAGATAGTTGTGCCAAATTTCATGCTGGTCTCCCCATGTGAAATATTTGGGAAAAATTATACTCTAAGCCGCTACACTATCATGTGTAATATTAATACATAATTCATAATCAGGCACATAGCCCTCCCCTTTTTTTCCAAACATTATTTTTTACTATTGAAAATGTTCAGTGAATATTATTAAATCATTGAATAGTATTAAATACATAATTCATAATCAGGCACGTAGCCCTCCCCCTTTTTTTCCAAACATTATTTTTTACAATTGAAAGGCTGCCCCCCCCCCCCCTATTTTTGTTGCAGTACTGTCAAACCAGGATAATGTGGTACTGTATGAATAAAATATGATTAAGAAAGAAGTTGGATCCAACAACTCCTCACCCCCGAAATAGGATTTTCAAGTTTGGATAATATTCCGGGGGGGGGGGGTGGATTATCAAAGTTTTTAAGGTAAGTTGATTTCTTTTTCTCTGGCGCCACCCCCCCCCCCCCTTTTTCAAAAACAATACGTGCCTGATAATTTTGAACATCAATTTTTTTTGTTTTGATGCTGTTCAATTTAGACCAAATTTAATTATCAAAATTCAACAACTGTTCAATGAAGGGGCTCAGTTTTCAACGGGCTAGGGTCTAAATTCAACATCGTTGGTCTCATTTTTCAACGATGCAATATGACCCTCCCGTGTGAGTTTTCAATCCAGGTCAAACTTCTTTGTTTCACAGGCTTTCTTTATGTACACTTTAAATTAAAATCTCTGATTGCATCAATAATTCTGTACTAGAAATAAATTCTTTTCATTCTTTCCTTAATGCTGGTGATCGTTATCTCAGACACAAATGTGCATGTACATACTCTGTATGTTCGAGGTCAATGGCAGAAAAAAATGCATGTAAAATTCTTGTCCAGTCCGTAACTTTGTAATGAAGAAACATTGGAACACCTTGATCAAATGTTATTCTATGGCCAGTAAGTTCAATATCACCAGCAGAAAACAAGAGGTCCATGAGCTACAACGCTCACCTGAGTTACACTAACACTGCTGTTTTTCATCAGATTTCCAAAAAGATTTCTGTATTCCCGAGAAAAATTGTGACCCCATATTAAATCCCCACTCTAAAAGTCTCTGTATTCGCACAACAAGGGGATGCTTCAATATTGACTATCACGGCCTTGCAAAATTGGAGAAGCAAATTCCTTTCCTGTATACCTGTATTACTGTGGAATCATCAATATTCGTGGGGGATCAATATTTGTGGGTCACTATCCACAAATTAACATACCCACGAACATTTATTTTGTCAAAATATTTATTCATTGAATCATCTGTATGTGTACGAGTTACCAACAAAATTACGTCCCCACGAACCAAAAAAATTCTGCTTACCCAAGAACATTGACCCCCACGAATTTAAATTATTCCTCAGTATGAGATATTTGACCCCTTTTTTAAGCTAACTTTAACCCAGAGTGCATAATTTCAAGAAGAAATGAATCCACTCAACTTTGAAATGTTTGCATATGAATGGTGTGATTGTATAGTTATTGAGATGATTTCAAAATTTATTTCCTAAATTGTCCCGTGTAAAACTCCGATTCCCTATTGTGATGGCACCCTACCCAGAGGGGCCATGGTTTATTTAATTTAGTATCTAAACTACCTCAGGACACTTTCATACAAGTTTCATCTCTTCTGGACCAGCGGTTCTTGAGAAAAAGATTTTAAAATAATTTTTATACATATGTGTATTCTATTGTGGTCCCACCCTACCCCCGGGGGACATGATTTGAACAATTTAGAATCTACTCTATCTCATGAAGCTTTCATTTAATTTTTATCTTTTGTGGCCCAGTGGTTCTTGAGAAGAAGATTTTTGAAGAAGTTTTCCTATATATTTCAATGTAAAACTTTAATCCCCAATTGTGACCTCACCCAATTCCTGGGGGCCATGATTTGAACAATTTGAATCTACACTACCTCTTAAAGCTTTCACACAAATGTCATCTCTTCTGACCCAGTGGTTCTTGTGAAGATTTTTTAATGACCCCGCCCTATTTTTGGTTTTTCTTGATTATCTCCCCTTGGATTAGAACTTGGTTCTTCATTTGAACAATTTAAAATCCCCTTTACCCAAGAATGATTTATGCCTACTTTGGTTAAAATTGGCTTAGTGATTTTTGAGTAGAAAAAGTGAAAAGTTTACAGACGGAAGGACAGATGGATGCCGTACAATGGGTGATCAGAAAAGCTCACTTGAGCTTTTAGCTCAGGTGAGCTTTAAATGTTAAATTCCTGTCTGGTCACTGAATTTTAAATTCATGTAACTTGCTTTTGATTTATCTTCAAGGTTCTTGTCAATGTCATCAATTCTTATTAATTTACACAATAATTTCCAGAATATTCTCATAGTTTATTATTATACCCTTAATATTCTCTTTATATACCCCATATTCATGTCTGAATATTACTCAATATTCTCATATGAGTTTGTCATAAATATTCTCAAAGTTCTTGCTCAGGAGAATCTCAAAGATATTCTCAGTCAATAGTTTTTCAAAAACAATCTTCACATAAATAATTTCACATAAATTCTCAATAGTTTCATACAAATACATGTATTCTCAATTGTTTGAATGTATTGTATTGAAATATCTCAGGTGAATCCCTCCATATTTTTTACAACTTGAATTTTATAGGATAGTAAAGCCATTCATTATTCTTATAAGCATTTACAATTACAGTTGAACTTCGTTATCTCAAACACTGATATCTCGAATGGTGTCATGGTATAATAATGAGCTAAGTTTCATCAAAAATGGTTACCATTTGTTCCAAAAAAGTTAAGGTCATTATAGAGAGTTGATCTTGAAAGTTTCACTTTACACTTATTCTGATTTCAATAAATGATGAGGTACTAGTAGGTTTGCTTGTAAAAAATACTGCTACCTACACAATCATTTTGTTTGGAAGCTACTTATTCAGTAAAATGGGTGAGGAAAAAAGACAACGAGAGGCCCAAGGACCTTAATGGTCACCCGAGTATAATACAACAATTTATAAGATCCATAGAAATATAAAATAAACTGATAGATGGAGACGTTACCCAAAAGCAAGAGAAATAGGATTGTCAGGATCAACAAAATACTAACTGGATGGTTGTGTATCTCAGATCTAAACTTGCGATCAATGATCCCTGGTTTAAATATAAGTTTATGTGTTGCACACAGGTAAAGATTGGCTGAGTACAGCTCAGAATTACAATAAATTCTGAACCTGGTGTAGGGCTAGTTTAAACCCATGCTGATGTCTTTACAGTCCAGATGTCTTGGAAAAATTTGGTAGAGGGCATAATGCTTGTTACAATCATGTCAACAGTTTGACTGCTTGATGTCCCTGAGTAAAGAAGATTTTTAAAGATATCACTAACTTTGATGGTTTTATCCCTACCTCTAAGACCCCACAATGGCAGGGATTATGAAACTTACAATTTTTTTCACCTTCACTCATAGATGCTATATGCCAAAAATGGTTGAAATTGGTTCAGCAGTTCCACAGAAGAAGCTGAAAATGTTCAAATGTTAACATATGATGCACTCGATAGACAAAAACAGATAGCATTAGGTCACCTGAGTTACTCAGGTAGCCTAAAATCTTAAACTACATGTTTATGAAGTAAATTAAAATTATGCAAATATACAGATTATACAACAGCTGATGGAAGTCTTTGCTTGTACATGTAAGCCAGAGTCTTAGCAGCTAAAGTCAGAGATTCACGTCGACTGACCCCTGTCAGTGCAACTTGCCAATCAGAATGACCAACATGAGGCAAAGACTCTTCCACAATTTGACCAATCGATACAGCCAGTCCCGCCCAACGCAAAGGGTAGTCTGATGGTGTTCTGTCCTGGGCTTGGAGAATGTACTCAGCAGGGAGAGGGGTTGGTTGCGAGAATGTCTGTAGTTCTACTCTATTTGCAGGATCTTGTATAATCAAGCAGCTCATTTCATACCATCTGTGAAACAAAAAATAATAATAACCAGAAGTCTCTGATAAGACTGTAGCTCTACTGGCTTATACTTATAACGTAGCACTTGGACTTGAAACTTTGCAACAGCAATAAATAGAATTAATGATCCTTGGTTAGTCTCTTTTTGTGACAAGATTTATTGCAATCAGGCTAAAACTGTAGGAGGAGGAGGAGCCTTTCAAAAGGATTTTACAAAAATTTCAAGTTTTGTTACCATGGCAACATCATTCATCAAGTTCAAAAAATGATAAAGACAATTATGTATCTCAGTGAAGTCTACTTACATGCCAAGTTATATTTAAATCAGACCAAACTGTAGAAGGAGTAGTGTTTTGAATGTATTTCACAGAATTTTCTATTTTTTATAACCATGGCACACTTCACCAAAATCAAAAACCACAGTGCCAAATTATGTATCTTAGTGTAATCTACTTGTGTGCCAATTTATATTGAAATCAGACCAAAACTGTAGGAGAAGTAGCTTTTTGAAAGTATTTCACAGAAATTTCTATTTTTAGTACCATGGCAACATCATTCATCGAAATCAAAAACCAATACATAGAATGAATTATGTATCTTAGTGTAGTTAACTAGTCTGCCAAGTTATACAGAATTCAGACCAAAACTGTAGGAGGAGTAGCATTTTGTAAAATTGTTTACAGACGGACAGACTGGCAGACAGATGGACGAACGATGGACACCTTACTATCACATAAGCTCTTCTGGTCTCTGACTGGTAGAGCTAAAAAACAGACTGACAGTATTTGTGAAGTGCTAATCTAGTCTAATTAAGGATGTGTAAGCATACATTTATCAACTAGCAAATTCAGAAAATTGTGGTCCCCCGTTTCAAGATCAAGGTCATGAGGTCAAATATCATAATACATTCCAAAAGATCTTGTCACAAATAGTGCACATGTGGGAAAAATATTAAAGTCCCTTCTCTTCTGGAACAAATGTTACTGCCAAAGTTAAAATCTTAGATAAGTAGGCCAAATGTCTAGGTCAAGATCAGGCATGCAAAAATTCACAGGTAATGTAAAATATAAAAACCCCATCTTCTTTCATTCATAAGTTATTACCAATGTTATTTTTTTCAAAAAAGAACTGTTTGTTAAACTTCTTTCAAGGTCAAGGTCATGGGAGTCAAACATCATAGTACAAACACATTTGGAAAGGTCTTATCACAGGTAATGCACATGTCAAATACAAATGCCCTCTCTTTTCTCATTCAAAACTTATCACCAATGTTAAATTTTTGGAAAAGTTGGTCAAGCTTCAATGTCAATGTCATGAGACAAAAATTATAGTGCATTTGGAAAGAACTTGTCCCCAGTAATGTACATTTGAAATATGAAAGCCCTTTTTTCTCATTCAAAAGTTATGACCAAGGTTAAAATTTTTGTGTGACAGACTGACAGACAAATGTGATTTAATGTCTCCTTGATTTCACAAAAGGAGGGGGGGGACAAAAAATGTTTGTTTCGTTCTTATTTACTCTGTAAAATTATACATCCTAGTAATCAAAAATCAGTTTTACTAACTTATACTTGTATTGTTCAACGGTTACCCAGTTATTAACCAGGTACTCATTTACAACACTACAAATAACAATGATTTGTGTTTGTACGAACTCATTATTATGATCAGAGGACATTTAAAGCCATCAAACAATTGATCATTTATTTTTATTTGCACTAAAATGTGAAAAAAAATTTTTTTGAGAATCCCTGCAAACTGCAGTGGATTTTCAACTCTCTAAGATGGTTCAATGTTGTTAAAAACTTCTCATGCAGTTTTCTTCTGTTTGCATTAAGCATGTGAGTTAAGGCTAGGTATAAGGTTTCTATGCAAATGAGCTAATAAAAAAGCATAAAAAGTATATTTATTATTCAGAGAGTTTTATTTTCTTATACATACTTAGTACCCATGATATGTTATAGCCAGTACACATTCTGACATCATATTATGACATCATCGTTCTTACCTACTTGAGGGAATAAAACACATCAACAAAACAGCTTCGGCACAAGGGATTATCCTATTTAATTTTACATAAAAATTGTATGATGCTAAGAAGAATATTCTATAGATTAATTAAACTGCTGCACAAATCCTAAGCATTTTCTCATTTGATTGGAATTTGAGGAAACTTATATCGGACTGTAGATTTTTACCCTGTTTCAACTTAATACTTTACAAATTGTAATTAAACAAGTGAGCTTTTGATATTTGTGCAGCAATACCAGCAATTCTTGGAATATTTTGCTTCTAAATATACCTTGTTTCGGTTAAATACTATAGAGCATGCCCTTGCTCTGAAGCTTTTTTGTTGATGTCCTTTATAAAATCTTGTGTAGTAAAGAACAATGACTTCATATTCTATGAGCATATTTCTACTTCTTATATACCGGGTATATGCCTATGTAATACTTGGATCGCCCATTGTAGCCCCACCCTATACCCACAGGGGTAATGATTTGAACAAACTTGAATCAACACTACTTGAGGATGCTTCTATATAAATATGACTGATCATGGTTTTGCTGTCCCTGAGAAGAAGATTTTAAAGATTTTTCCTATATATACCCATGTAAAACTATACTCACCCATAGTGGCCCCACCCTACCCTCAGGGATCATGATTTGAACAAACTTGAATCTACACTATGTCATGAAGCTTTCATAAAGTTTCATCTTATCTGGGCCTGTGGTTCTTGAGAAGAAAATTTTTAAATGATCCCACTCAATTTTTTACTATTTCTTAATTATCTCCCCTTGAAAGAGAGTGTGGCCATTCTTTTGAACAAACTTGAAACCCCTTTACCAAGCTAGGACACTCTCTGCAAAGTTTGGTCGAAATTGGTTCAGTGGATCTGGAGAAGAAGATGAATTTGTAAAAAAATTTACAAGAACACCAACAAACAGACAAAATTTGACCAGAAAAGCTCACTTGAGCCTTTGGCTCAGGTGGGCTAAAAAGGAGGAGGAACCCTTTTTATTGATTGACAGAAACTTTTCAAAGCCTGGACCTACTTAAAGTTGTTCCCTCTTTAATTTTGCTAGAAAGGAGGGGGGAGTATATGTTTCTTAAACTTTCCTTAACTTTGGTTTTAAATTTGAGACAAGCACTGACCTATCTGGAAATAGCTCCACAATGAACCCTTCCACTGAGACAATGGCTTGACCCTCCTCCAGATTCCCCTTTTCCCGAAGATTTTTTATCCTTTCTTCAGCACCTTTTAGACCACAAGTGTAACCAACTGGTTGAGCGGCAGTAGTTGAATTGCTTTCCTAAAAGCCAAAATTTTATCATATAGATTTGCACAAACAGAAAACAATGAATATAAAGATGAAATTAATCATTTCGCAAAAAATTTCTAACATCAAGAACAGTTCACATTAGTCTTATTACATTAAGTCAATCAAAAAAAAAAAAAAAGAAAAAAAAACATGTCTTGCATAAGACTGTAACACTACTGGTTTGTACCCTGATAAAGAACTACAGTCAAACCTCGTTATCTCGAACTTGATGGGACCGAGAAAAAACTTCGAGATATCCGAGGATTCAAGATATCAAGAGTAAAATACTTAAGAAATACATGGTTAGGACTTCCAAATCACTTCGACATATTCATGGCATTCGAGATATCCGTGTTCCAGATACCAAAGTTCAACTGTATGTTGAAAGTTCAACATAGTCACTCAGGTGACATATTGCTATCTCTTTTTGTCTGTAGTCATAAATAATTCAGCTTATTCTGCCCAAACATTTCATTTTCATGAGATGCCATCTTGAATCACAATTAAATAATGTGGAAATGTGAAATATAAATACATGATTCAATTTCAATGATGGTTTTAAAATGTGTATGGAGTACTGCAATGCAGATAAAAGATATCTTGACAGATTCAAAACTAGGGTTTGATTAATACTGTTTCTGCAGCCTAAAAAGGGTCAAGAAAAGTGTTTAAAGGTCAAGATATAAAAATGGCGGTCATCGAAGTTGCTGAATGCGAGAATATTGTAAATAATGTCTAAATGAAATATATTAAAAATGTGTCCATGATGTTCTAAAATGGAAATAATCATTGTTTGCTCTGGAGCATTTCCCTAATTTATAGCTGTTGTATACTACTGTAGATAATGGATACTGTTTAACAACAGAAACTAGGACGGCCTTGAACAGGCAAGTTGGAGAAAATACATTGTAGCACAATTCAACGAAGTTTCAATTAAAGAAACGTTTTTATACACAAAACACAATTAGATTGTCTTACACATAAAAATGGAAATAATTATTGTTTGGTCTGGAGCATTTCCCAATTTATAGCTGTTGTATACTACCGTAGATATGGATATTGTTTAATGACAGAAACTACAACTGCCTTGAACAGGCAAGTTGGAGAAAATACGTTGTAGCACAATTCAACAAAGTTTCAATTAAAGAAACATTTTTATATATAAAACACAATTAGATTGTCTTACACATAAAGATACTACTTTATTTTCTCAATACAATAATATCAGGGGATAAACCAAGAAGTTTACATGTTCCGATATGTAGTTTCTATGAAAGAATCTCTAGAAAATCAAAAAACAATGCCTCGTCCTATGTTCCGAAGTCTATATACCCCATCGACGTATACCCCTAAAATTACAGTAATTACGCAAGATCATCTACTTGCAAAAAAAATTTTCTCGCACATTTTTACTATTAAAGATTATATACAACATTAACCTGAATTTGTGAAAATTTTGTCTTCCTTATAAATACCAAATAACTTGTAAAAATAAAGTGATGCAAAAATTTTGGTGATCTTCAGTACCTTAACATAGCATAGGTATTCAATCAGCAGAGCTAATAAAGATAATAATTCAAATGTATTACATAATAAGCAAAAAATTATTTACCACATCAAAAATTCCCTGCACAACCTGTGAACTTAATAGATTGAAGACCTAGAGATCTAGATATAATTTGATATCTTGAAACTCTTACCATTCCCCTCACAATGGCCTTTCCAAACACTGCCTGAAATGCCTCCCTGACAGCTCCTACTTTATTCTCGTTTTCAGATGCTACAACCACATACACATCCCCACCAGTTCCTAAAATCACCAATAAACCAGGTTATACAAAAGGCTGTCCACTGTTGGCATTTTAGTTCTAGATGAGGTATATTTAGTTAGGACAAAAAGTGAAATTTTATCAACATTTAGAATTTGTTTCTGATGTTTTCTTACTTATAACCTCTTTCATCCCAGGATCAAGGGTTGTGATCATGCTCTCCATGGAACTCTGTAATATAATGCTTGAATATGGAATGGATTGAAGATTTTACTATGGTCATATTGAGAGATTATGCAGTCTTTAAATTCATTTTATACTAGATAAACCTTATTGGTATAAATTACAAAGTCCTTCTGAAAGATAGGAATTCTTTGTAAAGACAGTATACTTAACAATAAGAAGATAGGCAATCAAACTTCAGAAGTTCACCTCAACACAATTATGTAGGAGTAAGGCAATTTTGCCTCAAACCATATTGAATGTTTTAGTAATGTACATTCTCTGTGCAATTTTAGTAAAGATATGGCCTATAGAAACTAAGTCTGCCATGGTTTAGAAATCAATTCAGATACTGAACTTCATTTTTTTTTTCTGGTTCAGTTTCATTATGTGGTATGAAATAAAATAACCAAATGGATTTAAGAACAATGAAGACTATAATAAA